GTCCAACTTTAAATGCAGTGGGTCTATTTAAATTACTTTCAGAAGTGAAGAAATTACCGATTACTAAAAGTTTTAACTTGATGGTCAGAGACTGACAGGCTTTGAGTCAAGAAGAGCCAAAGACTATGTATGTACAGTGAAGTGTGACCATTTGTATGTAATGTCATCCGGGTTGGAGGAAGAGTGACTAGAATATGTTCAACGTTGACTTGGGAAAATACCACCTTCTGAACTGTAATAGAGCATTTACTTGCCTTGAAAAGCATGTAAAATCCTGAAAGTGTGAAGTAAGATTGCTGATTTTGTGATGTAAAGTTAAAAACACTAGTGAAATCACCATATAAAGTCAAGGCCTGGGTCTTTGTATTCCTTGAACCATAAAGAAGAGCACCAGGGTGTTTTAAAGACCTAGGTTTAGTCTCTGTGTTCTTTAAGTGAAAAAAGGTTGGCCTATAACTCTATGTGATAATCTGTATTTAGACCAGAATTAATTAGATAAGGAATAGAACCCTCCACAGTACCATGAATTGATGTGTTTGTCTAATTGCCATCCCTAAGGACGTAATTTCGAAATATAGCTAAAATGTGAAAAATGAGGTGAAACACAGTACCACAATTTAAGTGTGGCAATTCATTTCTCCCATTCATATGTCACTCTCAGCACAAGGCAGATCAATAACTGTCTCTAGTTACAGGATTAGAATTAATGCAGCCCTGAAAAGTTGAAGTTTTTCTCTGTGATCACAGAGCAGGGAAAGCCCATTCAAATCCAGTTCTGTGCCCCTTCTCCATCCTCTCTCTCCATCTGGAAATTAAAACAATGTAATGGTAAGAATAACCTAGAGTCTAGGTCAGGGGTGGGCAAACTTTTTGACTCGAGGGCCACAATGGATTCTTAAACTGGACCGGAGGGCGGAACAAATGCATGGATGGAGTGTTTGTGTGAACTAATATAAATTCAAAGTAAACATCATTACATAAAAGGGTATGGTCTTTTTTTTTTTTTTAGTTTTATTCATTTCAAACAGGCCAGATCCGGCCCGCGGGCCGTAGTTTGCCCACGGCTGGTGTAGGTTATAACCTAATGTCTAGGTCCTAGACATTCAGGCATATGGGTCCTAGTACTGCTTTCCCAACCAATTAGCTGGAGAAACTTGGATGGGTCTCTTGGTCTCTCTGACTTCAATCTCTGACATGACTTCAATTTTAGGTGATGAAGAAACAATTATGAGAATGCATGGCAAACATAAAATATTTTTACAAAATGAGCATATATTTCAGTCAGCATTTACTAGGCTTGAGTTCTAACTCTTCCCCTTACAAAAAACTTGAGTCTAAATTTTTTGTCTTTAAAATGGGGTTTATAAAGCTTATAGAGTAATTGTGAATTTTTAGTAATATAATGCTTGAGAAACTCTTCAGAAACTTTTTTTTTCCAGAAACTTTAAATATTAGTTGCTATTACTCCGTATACCAATTCCTAAATGCTTTCCTCAGGGTCACCTCTTTCATAGAACGTAGGCCAACAGGATTCTTCTCCTTTATAATCACTGCTTTTACTATCTTTACAACACAATTTAATACTGATAAAATCTGTAATTTCTTCTCTAATTGTTTCACATATGCATGTTTTAATCTCTCCCAAGAGGCTGAAAATTCCTTGATTATAGAATTATACCCCTAAAACCTATATATTAACAAATGTCACCCCAATAAATTAAAGTTACTTGAGATTATAAGACATTTCATCTCATAATATTTTTATATTCATCATAGTTCACACATAGCTTTAAGTACATAATAACTAATATTTTTGAATTAATTTTTATTGGATGTCTAGAATGTACAGATAATGTACCTATCTCATTTAATTCTTCCAACCACCATTTTACAGAATAAAAAACTGCTCTGAGCATTTAAGAATTTCCCAAAGTCATGCTACAAAGTGACAGACCTAGTATTCAAGACTTGGTCAAAACTAGTGCTCTTTCCACTTATCAGGTTGCCTCCCTGTAATTCACCCTCCATGCTGCAAAGTTTGTACAGTTCCTGATTAAGCTGCTTCTTCCCTATGACCTAACTCTTCATGGTTGGATAGCCAGTACCCACAGTTATTGTCCACCACAGGAAAAAGAATGAAAGAAAAATAAATACTGAATTAAGGAGGGGAAAAAAATCACTTTTTATTTCTCCAGAATTCCTTCCTTAAGAGAAACAATTTCACTTCAGTGTCACAAACTGAAAGAATAAAAATATATATTCTCCATAAAGAAAAATGAACAAAAGAAAATATTTTTGAATATATTTTTATTGATTTCAGAAAGGAAGGGAGAGGGAGAGAGAGAAACATCAATGATGAGAGAGAATCATCCATCAGTTGCCTCCTACACGCCCTCCACTAGGAATCAAGCCCGCAACGCAGGCATGCGCCCTTGGCCGGAATCGACCCCGGGACTCTTCAGTCCCCAGGCCGACACTCCATCCACTGAGCCAAACCGGCTACGGCAGTGGTCGGCAAACCGCAGCTCGCAAGCCACATGTGGCTCTTTGGCCCCTTGAGTGTGGCTCTTCCACAAAATACCACGTGCGGGCGCGCACGTACAGTGTGAAGTTGACTTAAAACTTTAAGTTTATTAAGTTAATTTTAGGGAACATGTGGAGTGAAAGAAGATGTAGTGTCGAGGATTGAGAAAGGTATGTTGAGATGGTTTGGACATATAGAGAGGATGAACGAAAGGAGATAGACAAAACAAGTATACAAGACCAGTGTGGATGAGAGAGTTGGAAGGGGTTGACCTCAGTGGACGTACCTCAATCAGATTGAGGATATTTTTAGCAAAGGCCAGCTTAGGAGTACCCTAATTAAGTTAATAACAATGTACCCACCTATATAGTTTAAGTTTTAAAAATTTGGCTCTCAAAAGAAATTTCAATCATGGTACTTACTGTTGATATTTGGCTCTGTTGACTAATGAGTTTGCCGACCACTGGGCTAGGGCAAAAGAATATATTTTTAATCTATCCATCCTCATAGTTGGTCAACTACATTAACACATGGAACACAGCCTAATTCAAATACCATATAGATCTTGTTTTAGAATTTCCATGCTCTTTGATCTTATCATTACCTTTTTTTTTTTTAAAAGGGGAGAATGATGATTTTTATTTTTTAAATGTATTTTATTGATTTTTTTACAGAGAGGAAGGGAGAGGGATAGAGAGTTAGAAACATCAATGAGAAACATCGATCAGCTGCCTCCTGCACACCCCCTACTGGGGATTTGCCCGCAACCAAGGTACATGCCCTTGACCGGAATCGAACCTGGGACCCTTGAGTCTGCAGGCTGACGCTCTATCCACTGAGCAAAACCGGTTAAGGCTTATCATTACCTTTTTTAAAGGAACTTTTATTTTATCTTTTCTCAAATATATAGTAAGATTTATCTGTAGTCATTAGGCTAATTTTTTATTTGAAATAATCTTACATTTATCGAATAGTTGCAAAGATGGTACAAAATGTTCCTATTTATCTTTTATCCAGCTTCCTCTGTTATCATCTTACAGAATCACGATATAGCCATCAACCTAAGAAATTAACATTGATTATATTCTAGAAACCTTATTTGGGTTTTTGTTTTAATATTCTTTTTCTGTTCCAGGTGCAATCCAGAACAACATACATTATATTTAGTCATGTTTCATTAGCCTCTTCCAATCTGTGATATTTTCTCAGTCCTGAATCTTGAAGAGTAATAGTTAGAACTTTATAGAATGTCCCTCAGTTTGCATTTGTCTGATGTTTTCTCTGAATTATACTGAGTTTATGGATTTGGGGGAATAACACCACAAATATGTATCCTCATCACATGATATCAACATGACTTATTACTTGTGGTGTTAACCTTGCTCCTTTGGTTAAGTTAATTAAGCTTTGTAACAATACTATTAGATTATGATATAATTTTTGAGAAGACTAATGCTACTACAGTGTTAGAACCACACTTAATCCAGCTCTATTATATGCATCTTTTTTAAAAATGTATTTTATTGATTTCAGAGAGGAAGGGGGAGGGAGAGATAGAAACATCAATGATGAGAATCATTAATTGGCTGCTTCCTGCACACCTCCTCCTGGGGATTGAGCCTGCAACCTGGGCATGTGCCCTTTACTGGAATCGAACCTGGGACCCTTCAGTCCGTGGTCTGACACTCTATCCATTGAGCCAAACCAGGTACGGTTTATATACATCTTAAACTGTCTTAAATTTTATTTACTGTTACTCAACAAAAATAATCAAAGTATATTTCATTGGTGCCTAATCCTGGACTCTTAAGTAATGAAAGAGTCCAGGATTTGGGGCCTCAAGATCTGAGTTCAAATTCTGTATTGACAATTTTTTGGCTTTAAGTCACAATCTCTATAAGCCTCAATTCCTTGACTTGAAAAATCAGGATAATCATTTTATCTCAGATTTGTTGTAAAGATTAATGCATGCATCAATTTTTATAACCATGAAACACTATACAAATATTAATTATTGCTATTATGTTTAAGCTTCTGAGGTGCCTATTGGACAATTTTTTTTTTTTTTTTTACTTTACAAAAAAACTTTATGCCCTGGCCTTGTAGGTCAGTTGGTTAGGTTTCAGGTTCGATCCCAGTCAGGGCACATACAAGAAGCAACCAATCCTCTTATATAATAAAACCCTAATATGCAAATCGACCTAATGGCAGAATGACTGGTTGCTATGATGTGCATTGACCACCAGGGGGCAGACGCTCAATGCAGAGCTGCCCCCTGGCAATCAGTGCACTCCCACAGGGGGAGCACTGCTCAGCCAGAAGCTAGGCTCACACTGGCGAGCACAGCAGTGCTGGTGGGAGCCTCTCCCACCTCTGCTACAGGTGGGCAATAAGGAGTGAGGGGTCCCAGGCTGCGGGAGGGTGCAGGCCGGACTGAGGGACCCTCCCGCCAGTGCATGAAATTTCGTGCACCAGGCCTCCAGTGAATGCATAATTAAGTGGAACAACAAATCAAGGTTTCTCTCTACTTTCCTCTCTCAAAAAATCAATGTTAAAAAAATTTTTTTGTAAAAACTTTCATTAAGTAATGTAAGTACCCACATGAAAAAGCCTGCTGAATCTCAGAAATAAAATGCCAAAGCCACAATTACGAAATGATTAAAAGGTCCCCTGAGAGTACTAGTCTGTTTTCCACCTCTGTTGGGTCTATACATACAAGAGGAAGATTTTGAAACTAGGTAAAGAAATTACAAATACATACACATATTTCCATAAGTTAATCATTCAGAAACTGCACACTTGTCAGAGGGAAAGTCACAAAATAATGTGATTGAATTGTAACACCAAGTATTTCATATCCAACTATAAACCTATATTTACACTGTTTTGAGAGATATTTCATTACTAACTTAAAAGAGAAACCACTACTTTCAATATTCAGTGGTTCTCAACCTTCCTAATGCCGCGACCCTTTAATACAGTTCCTCATGTTGTGGTGACCCCCAACCATAAAATTATTTTCATTGCTACTTCATAACTGTAATTTTGCTACTGTTATGAATCATAATGCAAATATCTGATATGCAGGATGTATTTTCATTGTTCCGAGGCCCAGAGGTTGAGAACCGCTGTAATAGATACTTAATTGTGAATCTTTCCTGTACACCGTGTTAGAATATAAGCTTACTAAGGGCAGAGATACTCACTTTCAAATCTACCTCAGTGAAGTGACACTCAATAAATATTAGATTTTCATTGGAGGTACTTTGTAGTGTAAAGTATACTCTCTAAACCAAGACTAAACACCTCTGTGCTGCCACTTCTGGTTTACACAATAAGCAGACTACACGTATACTTCAGGTCACCAGCAATGCCAGAGTAAAAAGACAAAAATACCTTCTTAAAGGATTTAATCTTTCAGCAAAAGCATGGAAATAGTCATCAAGGGGGAAAGCAGAACTTTGTTGGACTTCTTTATACTTATTTTTTGTTTTGTATTATTTTTATTTTATTTACATATGAGGTGAGGTGATGAGACGTCAAAATCTTTTCAGTGCTTAGTCCCTCCAAAAATCTTAATCCAGCTCTACTATATGCATCTTAAACTGTCTTAAATTTTATTTACTGTTATTCAGCAAAAGTATTTTATTTCATGAAAATTATAACACATGTGTACCTATGTTATGAGTTACATAAGTACAGTTTAACATTCTTCCTCATTACAGTATCTTCTCTTAGCAAAAACCCATAATAATGCTAGAAAGCAATTCTCATAAATTGGGTTAATGCCAGTTTTCTCTTATCAGCCAACAGTGCTACTATATCATCACACCCTCCAGCTGTACTAACATATTACATAGTAAGTTCTGAGAGTAATCAAAAGTAAATTGTATTATTTATGGTATTTACTGGTAAAAATGGAATGCAAAATGTTCTATTTGAAGTGTCTAAATATGTGCAAGAAAAGAGTTAATTTCTTGTGTAGTTCACGCTTGGTTCACATTTGGAGTTGAGTCACCTAAGAAAAGAGCTCTGGTTATTTTTTTTTCTCTCTCAACAATTCAAAGAAAATACTGCCAGATTCTTCCCAGTTTACATGGCACCTCCCCCCCTCCCCCACCCCACCTACCAGCCAGTCTATTGCTAGATAATTATCCAGATGTTTCTGGTGTTTTTGTTGCTGATATTCCCAGTATACTTCAAGGAGCTGGGTACAGATGTTACTTGGAGATATACTTGCTAGAGGCTGGTGCCAATTACACCACTTGTCATTTTTTGCTTGGTTTCATTTTGACCACTGGGTGCATCTTGTAACCGTGTTGGGTATTTTTAAGAACAAAAAATATAGAAAGCTGTAGTTAATTAACCTGACACGGCTAAAAGAGGAAGTTTAAAAGCACAGAGAGAACTGGTGTCTCGGATGTTTGAAATAAACAATTTACATTTAAACACTCTTCCCCCCCCCCCAAAACAAGCCCCCATCTATGTAGTCTAAGTGAGAACTTTGGCAATAATAATAATAAAATGGCCTTGTTAGAAAACCTTCCCCGGGATTTAAGTTTCGCTTTAAAGTTAATTGCTTTTCTCCCTTTCCCTGAAGAAATGGATTGTTTCCGTCTCGATCCCCTGGAACATGAGGGTTTCGGAGCTCGTCATGGTTTCTCACCTACATACCACGTCTTTGGGACTCTTGGACCTCACTTTACAAAAGGCTTTTGCTTTTGCTGAGCACCGCCGCTGCTGTCAGTCGGGTCTCTCCCTCCACCCCACCGCCACCTCTGCCCGCCGCGGCCCCGGGCTGATCCGGCAGGTGCGAGGCCCAGAGGAGGCCAGGTTTGCACCGCGCGAGCCCTGGCGGAGAGGAGGCCGGGTTTGCAGCGCAGGCCTCGCCGCCGGAACTCCGAGCGCCGAGCCGGGGAGCGCCGAGGGCGCCGGGGCCCCCGCCGGCCGCAGCCAGCGGCGCCCGGCCTCCAGGCCTGCGGCTCTCCGCGGCCGGACTCCTGGGCAAGCCCCGTCCCCTCTTGCCCGCCCGCCGGGTTCGCCGCAGCCCCGGGTTCCGCGTCGCCGACCCGCTCCCACCGGCCAGCAGGAGAAGGCCGAGGGGCTGGCGGGAGGGAGCCGGAGCCGGAGACCGAGGGGGGGAGCGAGGAGGCGGGAGGAAGGGCGCGGGGCGGGGGCGGGGCGCGAGGCGGGGCGGGCGAGCGCCGCCCGGGCGGGGGGCGGGGCGGGGGCGGGGCCCGGCCTTCCCGCTCCCGCGGCGCGGCAACTCCGCCGAGCCTCCTTAAAACTCTGCCGTTAAAATGGGGGCGGGTTTTTCAACTCAAAAAGCGCTCAATTTTTTTCTTTTCAAAAAAAGCTGATGAGGTCGGAAAAAAGGGGAAAGAAACCGGCACGGTCTCTGCAGCGGCCACAGACGTAGCAACTGTTGGAGCGAAAAGAGCAGCAAAGAAGGGAGGGAAGGAGGCGAGTAGGAAGGGGGCTAACGCTCCAGTGTCTGTCGGGTGAGGGGAGCAGGGACCGGCGATTTTGGGGGAGACCAGCTACAAAAGAAACTGTCACCGGGAGCGCGGCGGCTCGGGAGGAAGCGGCGCTGCCCAGGTCGGCTGCGGGGCACAGCTGGCTGGCGGCCGCTGCCCTGTTGGCGGCACCGGCCGCGGGCAGAGGTCGGGGAACCGCGAGAGGCTGGCCAAGTGGCACCGGTGGCCGGAACGGCTGGGCTCTTGGTCGACAGGGCGGCGGGACTGGCCGCGACCTGGGATCGCGGTGACTCCCCAAACTCGGAGACCGGCTCCAGCTCCCCCGGACCCTCCCGCTCTCCGGCGGCCCCTCGGAAAGCCAGGGCAGGAAGGAGAGGACGGCGGCGGCCGCTCCGGGAGCGTCTCCCGTAGGAAGCCTGCGCTGGCTCGGTCGTAGGCGGGAAGTGACGGCTGGGCTGCCCCGGGCAGCCGCGATGCTGCAACGCGCTGCCCCAGCAGCCCGGGCCGGGTAGACGCTGCCCGCATCGCTCTCCCTTGTCCTCGCGCTGCTGGGAGTCCCGGCACCCGGCGGGGCCGGCATGACCCGCTTGGCCGAGGCCCGCCGCGCGCCCGGCGGTCTCCGGGGACGCGCGCCGAGCCTGGCTCCCACGGCCTCGGAGGCTCGGCGGGGCGGCGGTGGCCCGGCGGGCGGGCTCCGGAGCCTTCCCGCGCGGCGTTAGCCCTCGTCTCGGCCGGGACGCGAAGCCAGGCCCCTCCCGAGGAGCCCAGGCCACCGAGGAGTCGCTGCGACCTGTGACTTGAGGGCTGCGGAACTACCACTCCCGTTTGCCTGCTGGCGATCATCTTTAACCCCCCGGAGGACGTCAGCATCCAGCTGCAGCGGCGCTCTCCCCGCCGCGGAGGACGCGACTACCCCTTCGGGCGTGACGGATGGAGACAAGCCTCCTGGAGGACCTGCCCCTGCCGTTGTGGCTCGCGCGGCTCCAGCCACCGCCGTGAACCAGGGTGGGTTAATGCCTCTTCTTCCCCGCAAATGTCGTTTCTTCCGCTGTGTTTTCTCCCCCGGGTCGAGTTCCCTAACCCTCCGCGCACATTCCTCGCAGAGACCTTTAGTGTTGTGACAGCTCTGCCTGCATTTTCCATCCAGAGTAATTTACCAGGAATGTGTCTGTCTCTCGGTTGAATCACCAGAATTCTTCCTAGGGGTTAAGCTAAAAAGCGAGGAGCGAGCCCCTCTCCAATGGCTCAGTTTTGCTGAATAATCACGTGTGAATCGAGGGGCGGGCTTTTGGCAGGCAGATCTTACTAGTATTTACTACCAAGCTCTACTCCAGATTAACCATCCCAGTCCTTCTGTCAGCCTCCGATGCCATCATGCAGCCTGGTTAGGAGCGAAGGAAAGAGAGAAAAGAAAAACAACTAATTCATCTTTTCCCGATCGTCAGGACCCTAAAGAATGGCCGAACCTTGGGGGAACGAGTTGGCGTCCGCAGCTGCCAGGGGGGACCTAGAGCAACTTACTAGTTTGTTGCAAAATAATGTAAACGTCAATGCACAAAATGGATTTGGAAGGACTGCGCTGCAGGTTGGTATCCAGAGAGGTGGGGAAAACAGGTCAACAGCGTTGCCTACGTGACCCGGGTTTCTAGCATAGCAGCTTTTAAGCTTTGAGGGGTACAGAATTTCACTGTTTTTAAACCTAGTTGGTTGCCATATTTTATATCTTTAAGTGGATCCAACTCCCCAAAATGACGTACTTTGAACAAACTCGTCAAATCCAATAACATCCATGATATCAAGTAGATTCCAGGTTTGGTCTTAATTTTCGGAATGTTTTTATGATGGTGGGTATTTGAAAGCCATCGTAGCAGCGCCGAGTTGGGGGGGGGGGGGATAGACAGCTCTGTAAACACATTATTATGATTATTATTTGAAGTAAATACGCTGCTATTAGTGGTTTTCATACTTTGCTCCTATAATTGACTTTAACGTTAATTTTCTTGACTACTGGCAGGGATGTTTTTCTTCAAATGCTTCACGTTTTAACAAACAACCTTTCCTCATTTGGAATGGGTGGACTGGGCACGGGGACAGGATGTACATTTCACAGTTAATGTAATACCATCCACCCATTCAGGATTGAGGAGGAATAAAAAATTGAATTTTCTAATCAGAGCTCAGCTTGTGTTTTTGTCTCTGCGGTCATGCCGTGGTATGTTCTAATTTTTAGTTATTAGATTTACAAGCAACAAATGAAACAAGTCCAGCTGCCAAGTATTGTACCTGATAATTTTTTTCCTCCTCTGGACATTATCCTGTAACTTAGTTGAAAGGCTTAAAACAGAAAAATGGAAAATTGGTCTCAAATAGTTGCTTTATCAGAGTTCTAATGATATTCTTGTGAGCTAGTCTTATTCGGAAATGCTACACTCGAAACATTGAAAATTGGAGAGAGGGTTTTTAAAGTTATTTATTTTAATTACAAGAATTAGAAAATTTAAGTGGAAGGATATATACTATTAACTGATAATGCCTATACAGTCTTACATTTTTAATCAGAATACACTGACCTTGCAAAATTTTCACTATTATGGAAGCTTCTGCATATATATTAAATAATTTATCTTGTTATTTCAGATAGATTAAGTGGGGAAAGGATTTTTTTCTTTTTCTACTTAGTAGTTTTAACAGGTGTGGTGATAGCAATGCCACAAGTTTAATATATTTAAAAGTTTCCTATTGAAAACTGAAAGATTTTATAAACCTCACAATGAGACTCTTAACCCATGTTAAGAATAAAACCTTGCAGGACTTTTGACGAACAGGAAGACTGGGAAATTAATACTGAAAACAAGTTTTGACAAACATTTTAAATAAAATCTGCAACCTTGTTTACATTAAACACATTTATCAAGATACTAACACCCACTTATTGTGAATTAGTCCTTGTACATATGATGAAATACACACAAACAGGAGTCTCAAGGCTTATTTTCAGTATGTATAATCAGGACTCTGAAGTTGTGTCATAATTCAAGAAAGAACTTTCCTTTAAAACAATTTCCAATATTACTGTTATTTACTATGAAAGATGGTAAATTTCCTTCTACATTTATATTTACTTAACTCAATTGTAAGAGTTTTTTTTCCTTTGCTACTGTAAGCTTTTCAATCAGTATACTATCAAAGGCCTTAATCATACATTTCCTTTACAGAGATCCAAGTTGTCTGTTTCTTATTTTTCCTAGTCCAGGTTCTTAAATGTGACTAAATCTTTAGAGGCAGTTGTGGCAAAAAATTAGATTGTGTTGATTTTTAATAACCAAAAAGTATACTTCATTGAAGTTCTTGAAAAACAAATTATGTATCCTTCTTACCACTGCCCCAAAGGCAGGGCTATAAGCCAGGAAGGTTTTATCGACAGGGAGGCTTAGTATCTTGGACAACTATATAGTTTGCATTTATAAAATATTATTTATTCTAATATTACTTAATTTGTGATTATTTTTAAAAAACAAACATTCTAAAGGGATAAACTTTGTATGTATTTTCCAATGGGTTATATTTAATTTCACAAATATTTGAGTGTCTATTATGCAATCTATGTATTATAAATTTATATTATTATGAGTATACCTAAATATAAATGAAATAAGTTAAAATGCTGAAATTTTTGGCATGTTAATGAGACTATATTTTTTCACAACTAAATTATATATAGTATAAATAACTGCGTGCTGCTCCACAAGATATTTTATAAGTATGAGAGCCTAATAGACATCTCTTATTAGAGTGAAATATGTATATTCAAACAAAAGTAGATAAGTCTTTATCATGTGAATTATTTGAATATTGACAGCAAATTTTAATACTACATTCTGGCTTTTCAAGTGTTGGCAGTTTACAAATAGCTATTCCTAAATTCCTGACAATAACTGCAAAAGGAAATAAGGTGGGATCACCAGCTGATTACTAAATGGGCTCAACCACAGACGCTGTCTGTGTCCCAAAGTACATATTAAATATCTTATTTTCTTTTGCTCACTTTAAAATCAGAAGGCCAATTAGAACTTTAAAAACAGTAAGTAATATAGAAGGATTAGACTGTTCCATTCTTTTCAAGAGCATTTGCCATATAATCATCTCCTATCTGATACACGGCATGTCTTGAATTTAGTTTTAGGTAAGTCAATATCATAAACATGGAGAACGCTATTATTTACTTAACACCTAATAATCAGTAATATTTAAAAATTTCAAGTGAAGAATTATAAGTGCTAAATACACCTCATACCTCGTAGCCAATATGTAATAATTTGCAAA